ATGGGAAGCATAATCCCTTGAACTCAAGCAATGTCTATTCCTTTTTAAGGTTCCAGTGTCAACCCAATGTTTGACTAAGGCTTTCCTGGGGAACCAATGAATTTACTGAGCTTACTTACAGAGATGACTGAGGAGTTCCTGAGGCGTATATGTGACCTGAGAGTATTTACCTTGGAAAGCATTTCCTAGCCTTTCCCACATAATATATTTTAGTTCTTCCCAAACCCAGGAGACCATATGTGATTAGGGCCAAATTACATACAGTTGGCTGGGAAGAGGCTGGATCCTCAGGTAAGGGTCCAATGACCCTGCCTATATCTCCTTTAATTAAAGAATATAATAGTCAACAAGTCCAATTATGATGACCTTCTGTAAGGCATATAAACACAAGGTAAAGACAAGCAATTGGTACACAACCCCCAGCATAGTCATTTAAGGAAAACTGTGTTATAGCCTTGAAGCAGGTTTTAAATGACCAAGTCTCCTTTAAAAGTTTAGAGATGTTTTACTTAGAACTTATTTCTAGTAAATTATTTAATAGTTCTCTTAGTATAAAACATATCTATATATTTATAATGGTTTTATATAATAAATACTATGGTTAGACATAATGTTATAACAAACCAGTTTTAAAACCAAGACTGATTTTTCTTGTTCCAAGGGAGAAAAGCACAGTCATATCAGCCAGCAGAGTTTCCAAGGACGAAAAGCGTCCCTCCCCAAACAGAACGTATCTGCCTGCATACCGAGCAGTGCTGTGGGAGAGGGAAAAGGACAAGGCCGAAAGGATGAGATAGGAAGACCAGTCCCAGAATTCATCTCCAGCTGTGAAGATGAGTTAACAGATCAAACCTATAACCAACAGTTTAATTTTCTCAAACCATTTTCAAGCCTTTAGAGGTCTGAAAGCAATATAAACCAGACCAAGAATGTCAAACCCAAAATATTTCCAAAGCAAGCAAACCAAAGAGATATTATGAAAGCAAACCCAAACCAAAAGGTATGCAACAAATAAGGACCTTAAACAACCAGTTCAGCCAATAAAATAAAGATATTTAGGGTTTTTGATGGAAATGTATGAAGACAATAATCATAGGCATACATGACAGAATTACTTGAGATCTCAGCACAAGCACCCATGACGAACACAGATACAAGACCAAAACACAGAACAAGACAAGCACAGACAAATAACATCAACCAGATTGCCGTCAAATCCAGGTCCTAAAAGACAAGCTTTTGGGCTCATGGCCAGGTGGGTCCAGGGACGTCTCCTCTGGAACCCGACTAGGGGGAGATTTGCTGCATCCAGCTTCCCACCTAGTTTCTCTGATCAGAGCCCAGAACCAGATGGCGACAGATCGCTGGCTAGCCAAAACCAGGAGAGAAACAAAAATCAAAAGTGGTTTCTCCAGCGCTCTCTTACCTTGCCGGTGGTGTGGGGGGGAGAAACCGGGGGTCTGACTGGGGAAGCAGAAGCAGCCGGGACTGATGCAAGCCCCCTTGCAGGGAGTTTGCGGTACTGTCTGACAGCCGAGGCTGATGCAGGTCCCCTCCTGGGGATTTCTCAGAATACTGCCAGGCAGCTCCCTTCTCAGGGAGTTTCCCGAAGCTGCCAGGCCCAGAAGTCCTCTGGATCTTGGTGGGACCTCTAAACACCAACACCACTTTAAGAAAAGTAGCAAGGTAAATTTTAATTTTCGACCGGCCGGGCTGTCTATCTCGGGAGTAGAAGCAGCCCTGATGATTGTTAAGTCAGAGTTTTTATAGGATTACAGAATTATTGTTAAAACAGGACATTTGTGAACCAATCAGGTTTGTACAATATAGCAGAATTTTGACTCTATTAATCAACAACCAATCATTATACAGACAAGTGATACAGTCATATAACTTGGCAATCAACTTTGTGACCTTAAAACTAGCCAACTGTTTTAGCCATAATAAATATAATAAGACAGTCAAGGTAAATGACTTCTAGGTGGTCATACAATAACAGGATAACAAGGGTGGTCTTATGCCCTGTGTCAGGGTGACCCAAGACAGCAAGCAGGTTACAGAAGTGAAAACAAGCTGGTTAGTAAAAATATAGTATCTGGAATTAGCACATTCCATGATTCATGGCCAGGGCAATTTTCCAAGGCCCAAGGTTGCCCCCCTTTTCCTTTCGGTGTGGAGCAAAGTTGCTGCTGAAATGGCTCTGAACAAAATGGAGTAACTTAGGGAAGTTTGCTGAGCCAGTTCAACAAAGTTTTATTTATGTATTTCTTTACTTATTTTATGTGTATGAGTGTACTGCCTGCATATGGGTAAGTACACCTGGATCGTGCAATGCCTGGGGACGTCAGAAGAGAGCGTCGGATCGCCTGGAACTGGAGTTAGGGACAGTTGTTGGCCACCATGTGGGTGCTAGGAACCTAACCTCGGTCCTGTGCAAGAGCAGCCAGTGCTCTTAACAGAGCAGAGAGAGCGAAGCAGGCTCTCCAACCCAGTTTTATTTTTTATTACATTTATGTGTGTGTGCACACGCATGCACATGCCACAGTACATATGTGTAAGTCAGTAGAAAACTTGCAGAAATCAGTTCTCTCCTTTTATCAGGAGGGTCCCAGGGAAAGAACTCGGGTGGTCCAGCTTTGCCCACTGAGTCATCTAGCTGCTGGTGAGGAGCTTCTTTGTAGAAAGAGGACAGCGCCAGGCTCTCAGATTTGTCAGGTGTCAGGGTGATGCTCAGGGCTTCAGCTCAGCACAGGGCAGCCTTTACCAAGTCGGCCCCTTCCACACACTCGAGCCTGACCCTGGCCTGCCAGTCCCAGCTCACAGACACCAAAAACACTCCCAGTCTTCGCCCAACCAGGACCGACCTCCCAGCCGCACCCCAGTCCTTCGGATTCCCGGCCCGCCTCTCGACGCAGAGGCTTCTGGGAAATATAGTTCTGACTCCCCGAAACACGCACTTCCGCGTTCGGCAGGCAGCGTAGCCATTTGTGCGGCGTGTGGTAGCCGGTTGCGGCCGGGTTTCGCAGCCCCTCTCCGTCAGCCTCGAGGGGCCTTGCGGATGCTGACTAGAGGTGGGGATCAGACTAGCCCTCTAAGAGGCGGGTCGGACGCACCTCGTAACCCAAGTGGGAGGTTGTGACCCCGAGTTCATCCCGCCGCAGCGTAGTGCACCGCTCAGGTTCAGCCCGGGCCGGCAGACGCCCAGGTTGGTGAGGGGCGCGCACAGTGCTGGCTGTGCGCATGCGCGGGGCCTGGGCGGAAGCTGGACGCAATGGTGCCTCAATCTTAGCCCCCGGCCCTTTAGCCTGAGGTCGCGCAGGTTGGTGGAGCTAGCGATCTTCCTGTGCGCACATGTGCGGGTGCTTGGACAAGCGGTGGACTTCTTTGGTACCTGAGGATGTCCAGGGTGGTGAAAAACGGGGCGGGGCACATGCACGGATATGGGGGAGATAACTTGAAAGGTTCAAGGGGGACACTGAGCAGGATTGTGTTTTGGATAAACGAAATATATTAACGCCATAGGCAGCATGCGGGCGGAGGGGGGCGTTACTAGGCGAGCTCAGGCCCAGGTAGGTAAGGGGTCTCCATAGTTTGGAGAATGGTAGTCCTGAGGCCTGTGTGCAGAATCAGTTTTGGGGTGGGGCGAGACACAGTTGCAGATGGGTGTGGTCTGTGTTCTGACAAAGCTCATGGCACCCAAGTCTGACTTAGTGATCCAGTGAGTTTATAGTTCCTTAACAGAAATGTGGGGGGGGGGGGGGGAGTAACTTACAGGAGCCATGATGGCCCAGCTGCATCATTGAAAGGCCCCTGGGTGATGACTCAGGAAAGCCACGTCCCAGGAGTTCCCTGCAGAACTTGAAGGCAGCCCAGCTGGGTGGGGTCTCTCCCTGGAGTGGTTACTGTAGAGGGCCTTGTGTTGCAGCTTTCTACGATTTGTAAGTTTTCCCTACTTCCCGAAGTCTTAGGAGCCTCCCTCTAGAAAGGAGTGTGTTGCAATTTGAAGAGAATGACTACACAAGAGACCAGACTGGAATTGCAGGTTGTTGCTTCAAGAGAAGGTAGTGTTGCTTGGGCAAATCTTTCTGACAGCCAAGTGCCCTGTCAGGGCCTGGTGGAGGATTCTAAGCACAGTGCCTCTTGCACATGCAAAGAGTTTCAGGAACTTAAACTGGATCATGGCACCCATGTAGGATAGTGCAGGGTCCTACAGCATTCAAGTTGGGTAGACTGTAGGTTAGAGGGAAGGACTCTACATCCAAAAAGGACTTTTTCCAGGCGTGGTGTCACTCTGGAGGCAGAGGCAGCAGATCTCTATGAGATCAAGGCCAGCCTGGGATGGTTGACATAGGGAGTTTCAGCCAGCTGGGCTACAGGGAGACTCAGTTTCAAAATACAAAATAACAACAAAAGGACTTCCTGAAACAGTTGCCATCTGATTGACAACTGTCAGGGGAGGAGTTGGTATTGTTGGGACCTTTGTTAGCTACTCTGCAGGCAGGAGAATGCCTCGGTTGGTAGACGGACAGAGTCTGGGCTGCAGATTAGGTCCTGGAAGAGGCTGACTGTATGACCCGCCCCCTCTTTATGCAGGACAGGAAAGGGTCTGGTTCGCATGGGAGCAGCTCCAGCATTGGCTTGAGCATCCCTAGGGTAGCAAGTGCCAAGGACCTGAGTCTTGATTCTGGAGCAATGTGCTCATATTACAACTTAGGTAATATGTTTTCAATGCAGGATGACGATACAGCAGGGGACCCCAGGACCTTTGTGGCAGTTGATTTTGAGGCATAGGGAGAGATACACATTCTCATAAGAAACCCAGACTGGAGCTGGGGCTGTGACTCAGTTGGTAGAGTGCTTGTCTAGCATGCATGAAGCCCTAGGTTCTGTCCCCAGCATTAAGGAGGTGGTGGCAGGGGGCCAGAAGTTCAGAGTCATCCTGGGTTACCTAGTGATTTTGACACCAGCCTGGGCTACAAGAGACCTGTCTCCAAAACAAAAAAAATGAAAAAGAAAGTTTAAAACCCCATACTGGTAGAATCCAGGGCCTGATTCAGATTCTGGGCATACACCTGCCCTGGATCTAAGTGCGGGTGCATGCTATATAGCAGCCTTTTCCTAGTGGTGCTGCCCTAGTATCAGACCCAGTGATATCGGATTTGGCACAGAGACAGCTGAGCTGTGGAGGTACAGGTTCTGGGCCTGGGAGAGGCTGGTAGGTGTCTGCCAGAGGTCCCCAGTCCTGCCTACACTCTTGTGACTTTGGGTACAAGAGCCCTTCAAGTTGATGGAGGGATCAGGTTAGAGGTACAGATTCAGGGTCCAGGAATTGCAATAAGAATTTGAGCCAGAGACATTGTGATAAGATGGTGGAGGGAGAGAGGGATTGGGAGCCTGTACTTGGCTATTTGGACAGGAAGTCAGAGACCGTGAGAGAGGTCACTGAGGAGTCAGGCCTGGCTATGAAAGGGTGGTGTTCATGGCAGGGTAAGTTCTGAGGAGAGCTGGGGCGGTGTGTCAAGCATCATGCATTTAGTGGCTGTATTCCCCTGCCATGGAGGTCAGTTGTGCTGCTGGCCCTGGGAAGAGGTGCTGGTTTAAGGTTACACCCATGGCAGGGGTGAGGCAGTGGAGAACACATTAAGGGATTCCTGTGTGTTGTGTGTTTGTGGGGTTCCTGGAGCGTGGTGGAAGCCCTGTTGGAGCGCTGGGTTTTGGTGTTGGCAGAAGGTTGTGTTTGAGCATGAGGTGGGCTTTCAGGGAGGTGGGGTGCTGGAGCAAGGAACTCTGGAGTTTTGGCTTGGAGACAGAACTGAGGGATTCTTGGCATATGCCCAAGTATTTGTATGCAGAAACATCTAGAAGCATGCTTCCCTGAGAACTGGAAGGTAATCCAGCAGGGGCAGGCCGGCCTGGGAGATGGCAGTGCAGGCTGCTCAGAGCCTCCCTTCTTCCTGCAGCTCTGCACCTTGCCACACCTGGAGGAAAGCATGGAAGGGCAAGATGAGGAGGGCCTGGAGTCCCTGCAAACCTGTGTGCAGGTGAGTGCAGCCTGTTCCCAAGAGCCCCAGAGCTCATCCCCACCTGGCCCACAGCCTCAGGCTCTGATTTGTTTTGGAGCACTCTTTGGAGATTTGGGCCCAACTGGGTGACAAGCTTTAAGAAAAAATTAATGTTGAGCATGGTGGTGCACACTTTTAATCCTGGCACCCTAGAGGCAGAGGCAGGCAGATCTCTGTGAGTTTAGCCTGATCTATGTAGTTCCAGCCTAGCAGGGCTGCAGAGTGAGACCCTGTCAGAAACAGGAAACAAAGAATAATCGTGTCTGTGTGTCTGTCTGCATAGGTGTGTGTGAGTGCACGTACCTGTGTGCCTGCACAGAGGCCAGAAGAAAACATCAGGTCCTCCTCTATCTATCATGCCACCTGTTCATTTGAGGGAGGGTCTCTCCCTATACCTGGGGCTTGTGTTTTCTTCGGGTAGAATAGAAGCCAGCAAGCACCAGTGACCCCCTAGTCTCCCTTGACCTTAGAGCTGGGGTTACAGGAATGTGAAGCACCTGGCTTGTTATGTGGATCCTGGGATCTGAGCTCTGATCCTCATTATTGAGCAGCAAGCATGCTTTTTTAAAATATGTATTTTATTATTTTTATTTTATGTGTATGAGTATATTGCCTGCATGTATGTGAGTGCACCTGTGTTGTGCAGTGCCGTGGAGGTCAGAAGGCATCGGATTCCCCTGGAACTGGAGTTATGGATGATTGTTAGCTGCCATGTGGTTACTGGGAATCGAACCTGGGTCCTCTGCAAGAGCAGTCAGTGCTCTTAACCGCTGAGCCATCTCTCCAGCCCCTAGCAGCAAGCACTCTTTAACTGCTGAGCTATCTCTCCAGCCTTTAAACTTCCTCCCTTTAAATCATTTTTAGTTATTTATTTTTAAAGATTTATTTGTTTATTATATGTGTGTATATGTGACTGCGTGAGTTTCTGTGCACCAGGTGCATGCGCGGGTACCAGTGGTGGTCATAAGGCATCAGATCATCCTGGAACTGGAGTTCTCTGCAAGAGCAGAGAACTTAACTGCTGAGCCATCTCTCCAGACCCCTTTAAAATTTTTTTTTGAGGCAGGGTCTCATGTGTCTTGGGCTCACCTGGGATGTAGCTAAGGACGACCTTCAGCTTCTTACGTTTCTCCCTCTACCTCAGTGCTGGGATTACAGGTGTGAGCCACCATATACAGCCTAGAAAACAGTTTCTGGGTTCCTCAGTACTGAAGAAAATACAAAGATGAAAAGTACAAGGTTTTTATTATTATTATTATTTTAGAAAAGTTTAAGAGGGCTGGAGAGGTGGCTCATTGGTTAAGAGCACTGGCTGCTCTTGTAGAGGACCCACATGGAGGCTAACAACCGTCTGTTACTCCAGTTTCAGGGGAATCCTGACGCCCTCTTCTGACCTCTGCAGGCATTGAATGACACAGGTACACTTAAACACATGCAGGCAGTATGTTCATACACATAAAATAAAAATAATAAGCTGGGCGTGGTGGCGCATGCCTTTAATCCCAGCACTCGGGAGGCAGAGGCGGGTGGATCTCTGTGAGTTCAAGGCCAGCCTGGTCTACATATTGAGTTCCAGGACAGCTGGAGCTACAGGGAGACCCTGTCTCAAAAAGACCAAAAATAAATAAATAAATAAATAAATAACAATATTTTTTAAAGTTAAAAAATCTATTTGGGTGTGTGTATACATGTATGGGTGTGCCGCGGTCACATGTGGAAGTTAGAGGACAGCTTTGTAGAGGAGTTCTGCTTCTACCATGTAAGTTCTAGGGTTTGAACTCAGGTCATCAGACTTGACAGCTGCCCCCTTACCTGCTGAGCCATCTTACCAGCCCCCAGTACACATTTTTTATATGTAGTGTAGAATCCATGACCCAAAGGAGAGTTAGAAATAGAAGTAACATGAGGGCAGTTGTTTTAGTGGTATAAGAAAGGTCCAATACGGGCTGGAGAGATATCTCAGCATTTAAGTGTGCATACTTCCAGAAGACCTGAATTCAGATCCCAGTACTTAGGTTGGATGGCTCCCAACCACCTGTAACTCCAGCGGATCTGGGGCCCTCTTCTGGTGAATCTCAGGTGAGGGTCCACTGGCCCTCCATTGGCACCTGCACTTGTGTACAGACACACATACACACACACACACATACACACACACAGTTTTCTTTTAAAAAAAGAAAAGGTCTAACCAAAACTAAATTGTAAGGAAGGTAGAGACAAGGGTTTATGCTCCCTGACACTTCATGGAGGAGGTGGCATTTGTTTTGATACTTCAGCAGTCAGTCAGAGCTTGGCCTGTGGGACAGTGGAAAGGGAGGAGCTTGTATTGTTGGGTCCGAGGTTCAGGGATGATTGGAGACCACCCACCAAAATTCGAAATTTAGAAGATTTTATTGAAAAGCATTCCAATTCTTGAACGACCAGTTGGGCACAGACTCCAGGAGCCAATGAATGGAGTCCGGCCCCGACCAACAATGAGCAGGGGTTTTTATTGAGTACTCTTGAAAAAGCCCGCGCAAACTGGGCAACCTCTGAGTTGATTGGATAACTCTGAATTCCTTGTACAGGGGGAAATTTCATTGGTTATAGTCATGGTCAGCCTCCTGGAATATCTCAATTTCTCCTTTTACGGTAGGATGCCCCTATCGGCCTCTGGATGCCCTTTTATGGTCAGGAATTTGGGTCTTTTTCAGGAAGGCATGTCCAGGCTTGCCTAATCTTAGCCCGCAGTATGGGGTAAAGGAGACTCACAGTTTCTAGGATCAGAGACTTAAGGCTGACAAGATGGAGGCTGCTAAAAAAATGGAGCCAGTGTGACCTGGATCCTTCAGTATCAGGCAGTCAGTGGACTGGAATGTGTGTTAACCTTCCTTACCATTAAAGGCATGTGCCTTTAATCCTAGCACTGGGGAGGCAAAGACAGGCAGATCCCTGTGAGTTCCAGACCAGCTCAGGTCGTGTGGTGAGACGTGTCTCTAAAAAAAAAATAATAAAAGATCCCAACAACAAGGTCTGACCTCAGCAAAGTACATTGGGGAACCAATGACTTTTGGGGCCTATAGAGCATGGCAGGAGGTTTCTTATGGGAACACAGGTGACCCGAAAGCAGCTGTGCTGAGAAGTTTACACCCAGTGTAGCCATCCAAGTGGAGTTTCCTTCAGTTAACTTTCCCCAGGCTGTATACGCCCAAGACCTTGTGTGATTGGGACAGGAGGAAGAGGCTAGAATCTCAGGTGAGGGTCCAGTAGCCCTCCCACCCTTCAGTCATCAACAGCCTGCTCTCTGTAGGCAGGCACAGCTGCTCTGATGAAGGTGGAAGCTCTTTTGCTCCAAAGACTGTGTCCTACAAAATGAGTCTTCAACTATTTTTAAATAAACATGGTTTATAAATCCTGTAGAAACAGAGCTAATCCAGGGCTGGTGTTGAACTTAGGCTTCTCCTAAGAATACATAATGCTTTTGGCCAGTAAGCTGCCAGAGCAGGAACCATTAACAGCAGACTAAAGATTGCCATAGAACTGTGGGTGATGGTACACACCTATAGTCCCAGCACTGGGGAGGTGGAGGCAGGAGGATTTCCATAAGTTCTAGGCCAGCCTGGGCTATATGGCAAGGCCCTGTCTCAAAAGCACAGTGAGCTGGGAATGGTGGCTTGTGCCTGTAATCCCAGCACTAGGGAGGCAAGAAGCAGTAAGTTGTCAGGATGTTGGTCCCATACACAGATTTAAGCAAGTAAATCCAGAGAGGGTCATCAGAGCCAGAGAATGTAGGTATTGGGGCTTAGAAAGGTGCCCCAGATCCTCTGTGTTAAAGGCTTGGGGGTGGTCTTAGGAGATGGTGGAGCTTTAAAAAAAAAACTTTTATTTTATGTGTATGGCTCTTTTACCTGTATGTATGTAAGTGTACCACATGTGTGCAGTACCTGCAGAGGCCAGAAGAGGGTGCCAGATCACCTGGAACTGGAGTTATAGACCGTTGTTAGCCGCCTTGTGGGTGCTGGGAACTGAACCCCAGTCCTCTGCAGGTGCAGCCAGTGCTTTTAACCACTGAGCCATCTCTCCAGCCCCAGATGGTAGAACTTTTTAGAGGTGGAGCATAGTACACAGAGGCTAGAAGAGGATGGCACGTGTCCACTATCATTCCTGGCCTTCTTCCTTTGAGGCAGGGTCTTTTCCTGAACCTGAAGCTCATGTTCTGTCAGCTGGGTTGGAAGACAGCAAGCCCCAGTGACTCTCCTGTCTCTGCCCTCTCAGAGCTGGGTTTACAGGCCTTTGTGGGATTGTGACTTGGGTGCTAGGATCTGAACTCCAGTCCTTATGATTGCTCAGAAAGCACCCTCAACCATTGAACCTGCTCTGTCCCCCTGGGTGCTTTTTGCTTCTTGTTTGGTTGTTTATGAGACAAGGTCTCACAATGTAACAGCACATGCTGGACTTGAACTCCTCATTCATGATCCCCATGCCTTAGCCTCCTTAAAGTTAGTTTGTTAGGGCTTGTTTTGTTTGTTTTTGAGACCAAGTTGGCCTGTAACTTACTATATAGCTAAGGTTGACCTTGAACTAATGATCCTAGCCTCGACTTAGTGAGTGCTAGGATGACAGTCGTGTGCCATCATGCCTGGCTTATTTTTTTTTTTAATTACATGTATTTATTTATATGTGGGTGTATGTGCCACAGTGCGTGTGTGGAGGTCAGAGGACAGTTAATGGAAGTCAGTTCTCTCCTTCCACCATGTAGGTCCCAGGGATCAAACTCAGGTTATCAAGCTTTGCAATGGCTCTTTCCTGCTGAGCCATTTTGTTAGCCCCCTGGCTTAATGTTTGAAGTTAATTTCTTGATTGTTTGTTACTTTTGGCTTTAGGCATGCTCTATATAGTGCATGTTACTGGCTTAGGGCTCCATCGTGCGGGAATTTAGGCGGAGCACAGCTGGAAAGTTTCTTTGGTTCCTGGGATCACTTAGCTGCATAGAGCTGGCAGCAAGTTCATCCTGGAGCATTCAGAGACCTAGTACCTGTGTGTGGAATCTCAGCCGCCTCTAGGTGTCCCTTCTCTGTATGGTCACCTTGAGCTCACCCTGAGAGGTAGCAATGGTTGGTAGTTAGATGTATTAGAACAGATGGTGCATCAAATTCTAGCTGACTGACCATGGGAATGTTGAGCTACAACTTTGTCCTCTGATTATTTTTATTTTTCTCATCTGTTTCACCTCTTAGAACTTTGTTCTACCTCAAGAAATGATCATTGAAGTTGAGGGAGACGATGCCGGGACACTGGACATCATGCCCCAGGTGAGTTGGGCAAGTCCCCTTTATGTGAACATGTGTGCGTGGCTAGTCGGTGGTAAAGCTAAATTGAAGGGAACTGGAGCAGAAAGTGAGAGGATGAAAATAAGAGTGAGTGGGCTGGGGAGATGACTCAGTTGGTTAAGTGCTTGTGTCAGCATGAGGACCTGGGCTTGATCCCCAGATAAAAAGCTGAGGTGGCTGTGTACACTTGTGTGCTCAGTGCTGGGGAGGCAGGGGTAGAGGGCTCTGTGGAGCTTAGTGGTGAGCCACTCCAGCTCCAAGTTCAGTGTGGATTCTGTTTCAGAAAAATCAAGTGGACAGTGAAGGAGGAGGACACCCAATGTCAAGCTGGCCTCCACAGGTATGCACACACATCCTCCACCCATCCCTACTCCCACGAGTGAGCAGCTTTGCCAAGAAATGTGGTTGTGTCAAAGGTGAAAAGTGGAGAGCTTCAAGGATATTGCAGGTTGAGGAGTTGATTCAAACAGATGAGAAAGATTCTAGGGCCTGGGGACATAGCTCAGTGGTAGAACAGTTGCCTAGTGTGCACAGAACCCTTAGTTCAATCCCCAGTGCCACAGAAAGGAAGAAAGGAAAGAAAAAGACTCTATTTAGAAGTGGTTATCAGGAAGGAGTTAGTGGAGAAAAGAGTTATGAATTGGGAGGTAAAGGAGATAAATTATAAAGCAGTCTGTCTTACCATTAGAGAACTTAATCTGTTGAGTCTGAATAGACTGGCTCTGGATAAGGAAAAGAGTCCATCTATAAAGAATGAAGGGAGCTATCAGAAGGCTGGCATTCTTTGTGAATAATCAAATGAGAATGCGACTGGGATCTGCCTTCTAAAGATGATTAACAAGAGTGGAGAAAACTAGGGGATGGGGAGATGACTCATTGTGTGCTTTGTATGAGAGCCTGGGGGCCTGAGTTCAAATCCTCAGCATCCATGTTAAGGTTGCAGGGCAGAGACAGGTGGATCCCAAGAGCTTACCAACCTAAGCAGAATGATTACATTCTTACAGCTTACAGTGGCACTGACTATATGTTCCCATTCCAAGAGGGAGGAATAGGGGCATAGTTAGGAAATAGTGGATCAAAGCAAGACCAAAACCCAGCAGGGCAGATATCAAACCCGTGGCTCTGTGGCCGGTGTCTGGGGCTTAGTTTCAAAGAGCTTAGATGGCTCTGCCCCCCAGCCCTGCTACATGCAGCGTACATCTCTTGGTCTGGTCCCACTCTGTATGCAGTGCTCCTTGGCAGATGTCTCATGGTTCTGACAGCTCCAGCATCTTGGGGGTCTCCACTGAAGCTCAGCTTTACCCTTACAATTTCATGCAGTAGCCTCCCCCAGCCTCCTCCCAGGGACTCTGCTGCTCCATGTTGTGTGGCCTCAGCAGCTCTTTAAAACTGTGGAGTTAAAGAATCTACAGCCCCTCGCTCTTGCGTCTCGTTGCCTCGAAAGTCAGCACCAACTTTGGATGCACCTTCGACCTTAGCAGCAGCTTTAATGTGTTAAAGTAGTAGCTTGTAGCTTTCTAGGAGCAACTTTCTCCTTCCTCAAGTTGGAAGCTTCCCTGGTTGGGGTCTTGCCCTGAGGGCCCCTTCCCTTGTTCCATTGCAGACCTGGAGCCCTCTCCTTAGTGGTAATAATCTCTTTAACAGTTACAGCCTCTGCACCCAGCCTTGGCTGCACCATTAAGCTTCCTGTGCTCCTTTTCTCTCCAAACTGTGCATTTTGTATTTCTTTCTGCTCTTTTTCTCTGTAGACCTGCATAAAGTAAACAGTAATAATCATTCCACAGACACATTAGTTTTAATTAGTTCATTAGTTTTAATTCAACCTCAAGTAAATTCTCAGGACATGTGCAGAAAACAGCCAGATTCATTGCTAAATTATCACATGAATGAGCTGTAGCCCAGCTGCTGATTGAGACCTTGCTCCCCTCTGAAAGCTCTTGAGCCAGGCTCTATCATCCGTCCGCACTTCTGTCCAGGCTCAGCTAGAACATCCTGTTGAGCTCTGCTTACATAATGCAATGGCTTCTTTAGACTTAACTTTCAAAGTCATCCACACTCCTCTAAAAAACAACATAATCAGCTTCTCCACAACAACAGCCCCACTGTCTGGTGCCAATTCCTCTGTTGCTGTGATAAAACACCATGACCAAAAGCTACGTATGGAAGAAAGAATTTGGCTTGCAGTTCTAGAGGCCAGAGTCCATCATGGTGGAGGAGGCTAGGCAGCAGGAGGCTGGAGCAGAACTGGACTGATCACATTTGGGCACACGGGAAGCAGGGAGAGTGAACTGGAAGTGGGGTGGTGCTTTAAACTCTCAAAGCCCACCCCCAGTGACATACTTCCTCCAGCAAGGCTCCACATCCTAAAAGTTCCATAATCTCCCCAAACAGCACCACCAACTGGGGGCCAAATGTTCAAATATGAGGCTATGGTCATTCATGCCACAGCACCCAGCATCTTCTTCTGGCCTCCACATGAACATATACACACAGCACATGGTAGAAAGAGAGGAAAGAAAGCTAAAGCCATTCTTTTCTATGTTAACAGATCATGCCACCCAGTAAGTGTGATTGAGTTCAGGTTATTCTGAAAAGATCATCCAAAGACAGGACTGTGACATTCTGACACCCCAGCTGCTTTTGTACCTTTTCTCCCAAGGGTATTTTGTGATCACTTTGTGTATTGATCCCCCGATTCATTCACTGAAATGCTAGTATATTAGAGCTAATACATTTAATATGCATTTTACATTAACTGTGCTTCCATGGAGTTACATTTATGGCTATCTTCATAGATCATTGTAGCATAGTGACTCAGGTTAACTGTTCCTTAAATAATGAGAAAGTATGGTGTTCTATGATAAAAGTGCTTGGAGCTTGGACAACACATAACCAGAGGTAGAGCCAGGGCTGCTAATTAAGCCTCTTACTACTACTGTTATTGTAAAAAATTAATTATTTTTGCACGTGTGCGTGTGCATGCCTAAAGACCTGAAGTGGATGGCAAGAGTCTTCCTCCATCACTCTATTTTTTATTTGCAGCGGGGTCTCTCAGTTGAACCCAGAGCTCTCTGATTAGCTGGTCTAGCTAGAACTCTGCGTCCTGAGTGCTAGGATCACAGGTGGCTGCCACACCTGCCTGGCTTTTTTTTTGTTTGTTTGTTTGTTTTTGTTTTTTTGAGACAGGGTCTCCCTGTAGCCCCAGCTGTCCTGGAACTCACTATGTAGACCAGGCTGGCCTTGAACTCACGGAGATCCGCCTGCCTCTGCCTCCCAAGTGCTGGGATTAAAGGCTTGCGCCACCACGCCCGGCCCACCTGGCTTTTACATGGGCTCTGAAATCCAGTCTTCATGCTGTGCAGCAAGCATTCAGCCACTGAGCCATCTCTCAGCCCTATTACTATTTTTTGAGATAGGGTCTTGATATGTAGCTCAAGCTGACTTGGAACTCACTACGTAGCCCACATTAGCCTCTAACTTGTGGAAATCATTCTGCCTTTGCTTCCCAAGAGGTGGGAATTACAGATGTGTGCCACCATACCAGGCTTAGTCAGTTACTATCTATTTGATATTTGACTTTGATTTTTTAAAACATATCAGTTTTTATTTTATTTTTATTTACTTTATGTGTATTTACTTTAAGTGCATACATGTAAACACACCCATGTTGTGCAGTGCCCATGGAGGCCAGAAGAACGTGTTGGATCCCCTAGAACTATAGTTGCAGACAGTTGTTAGCCACTATGTGGGTGCTGGGAATTGAACCTGGATCCCCTGGAAAATCAGCCACAGGCCAGTCCAATGAAAGTAATTTCCCAATTGAGGCTTCTTCCACTCAGGTGTGTCAAGGTGACAACTGAAGCTGTTTACCATAATCCTGGTCCTTCCCTTTCATGGGGCAGTTCTGTTTTTGGCCACACTCAGCTTTGGGGAAGGGTCTTTTGGGATGCTCACTGTCACATAAGTGAGGTCTCAAGTAGACCTGGTGGTTTATGCCAATAAACCCTGCTATTTAGGAAGCTGAGGCAGGAGGATTTCCAGTTGAAGGTGAGCCTGGATAATTTGGTGAGATCATGTCTACAAACTTAAAGAAAAACAAAACCCTTCAAAATCTGGGAAGACATACCTTTATTGGTTTATTATCTATAACTCCAGACCCTGATAATAACTTTTGAAATAAAATATATTCTTACTAGATTTTCTTTATTTGGGGAGGTGGTGTGTGGTTCATGTGTATGGGGAGGTCAGAGTCATTTCTCGCCTTCCACCATGTGAGTCCTAGGGATTGAACCCAAGCTGTCAGGCTTCAAGGAAAGTGATTTTACCTGCTGAACCATCTTGATTGCCTATAAATGATTTTTTTAAAGGCTGAGGACATAGTTCAAGGGGAGTATGTGTCATAGTGGTAGAGTGCTTGCCTAGCATGTATGAGGGCCTGGGTTCAATCCCATGCCCTGCAAGAAAGAGGCAGACAGAAAAGAATGAGGGGCCAGAGAGATGGCACAGAGGTTGAAAGCACACACTACACTTGCAGAGGACCAGAGTTTTATACCCAGCACCCATGTTGGACAGCTTACAACCACCTGTTACTCTAGGTCTAGGGGATCTGATGCCCTCTTCTGGCTGCTGTGGGCACCTGCACACACAGGTACAAACTCACACATATACATAATTAAAAATGAGAGAAAGAGAAAATAAAATATCAGTCGTTTCTTATTTGGCATCCTCTTTGGGGAAGTAAAAACAGGTCTGGGATCCAAAGTCCAGAGATTCCTTTTCTCCTTGATTAGAATGTTTTGGCAGCTGGTAGTTTTAGGGTTTTAATCTAACTGCCTTGTTAGATTCTCCTGTGTCCTGCTGTCAGGCATTTCTTCCCCTTTAGCATTGAAAAGAAATGATGCCCAGCTAAGCAGGATTGGATATCCCATTTTAGGAAAGTGCGGACTTCAAGATTGTGACCGTGGACTTCACCGAGGAGGAACAGAGTACCTGGAACTCTGCCCAGAGAACCCCAGACAGAAATGTGATCCTGGAGGGCCACAGGGACCTGTGGGGTGAGTACTTAAAGAACGGGTGTCTCCTTTACTACTATTCCATCAAGACCCACAGTACTGAGCCATCAGAATCTCTTTTTACATTTAGTATACTTTGCCTGCACACCACGAAGTGGGTGGAGGCCAGAGGACAGCCTGCAGGAGTTGGTTCTCTCCTTCCATCATGTGGGCCTGGGGCCAGAACTTGGGTCATCAGGCTTGGCAGCAAGCACTTTTATCTGCTGGTCTGTCTTGCCGACCCAGCAGCCAGAATGTGTTGACTGCACGCAGACTGCTCATGTGCTTCATTTCCCAGTGAAGGTGAACCTGACTCCAGTGTTACCTGTTGATGTGGAATGCAGCTCTCACCTCAGAGAAAGTGTTTATCCTTGATCCAAGTGACCACGTCCCGGGACACAGATTCAGGTTTCCCTGAGTGACGTGTTCTACCATGGAAGTGGTCACATGAGCTTTTATTAGTTATGGAATGAAAGAGAAACAGAAAACAATGCAATTACCAAATACACCAATGAGGATCATAGATAGGCAGGTGTTGCTAAGATTCCTTCTGGGAGGCCTGAACAATGTCTGACCCCCTCTTCCCTTGGTCCCTATGACAAAGCAAGGTACAATTTCACCAGAGTAGTTTGGAAAACTAGTAAGTTTATTGGGCTTACTTTCAGAGCAGTGGGTGAGGAGTGTGGGTGTAACCCTCCTAGGGCCTCCAGGCATGGATTGTGACTTTCCAGCTACCATAAAAATGGGGAGAGACCCTCCCTGTGGGCTTCCCTAGCTTAGGTACTCTTAGTCCCCCACCCTCACCCCCACTGCCCCTTGTGCAACTAGGGCTGGCTGGGTGGTTGGGAGACATGACTGACTCTCCCTGCCTCGGTCAACAGTCAAAAAGTTTTGTGATAATCCTAGGCAAACTGGTGCAGCCAAGTTTAGGAAGAAGGTGTCTGTGCATAACTTGCTAGTCGGAGAACAGTCCTATGCCACAGCAGGTTATAGCCAAGGGGGAAAATGGGTCAGTTTCAGATGCTGTCTGATGACTGATAGACACTAGCAGCCTACTAAGAATACATTTTAAAGGCTTTACCTATTAGTCAGAATAGGTTGGACACAGGGATGGTCAGCAAATAGCTACTAAGGGAACTGAAGTTAACCCAGGGCCATTTGGCTCTGGATAGGTGACATTCTAACTCTTCAGGATCATTAAGTTGTTTTTCCTTTTTTTTTTGCCCTCAAAATGTGCTGTCATTTAAGGAAAAGAGACAAATCATGTAATAGGAGATAGTTACAACATATTCAGTTTCATAATAAAGGTAATAGTACAACTAGGCATGGTAGCAAATGCCTGTAATCCCAGAATTTAGGAGAGAGATAGGCAGATTTCTAGAATCTGGACTCTAGTCTGGTCGACACAGTAAGATACTTTCCAAAAATGTCACAAATTTATACTGAATTAAATCAGAATTTTAAAAAAACACTCTAAGCCTGGCGTGGTGGCACACACCTTTAATCCCAGCACTTGGGAGGCAGAGGCAGGTGGATCTCTGTGGGTTCAAGGCCAGCCTGGTCTACATAGTGAGTTCCAGGCCAGCTGAGGCTACGGGGAGACCCTGTCTCAAAAAGACCAAAAAAAAAAAAATTATTTTGATATATCACAGTGAAAGATTTATCGTCCTCTTTTTTTTTTTTTTTTTTTTTTTTAAAAAAAAAAAAAAAAAAAAAAAAAAAAAAAAAAAACACTCTAAAGAATTTGTAATTTCAGTTGCAAATATCTAGCTTGTTAGTCATTATCTGTAATCTCAGTACTTGTGGCTAAAGCAAGAGGTTTGAAAATTTCATGCTAACCTGGGCTACAGAGTTAGACACTGTCTCAAGAAAACAACAAACCCAGTGTATTGACACATGGCTATAATCCCAGCACTTTGTTGGGTTGAGACAGGAGGGTTGGGTGTGTCAGACCAGTTCCTCCTGCATAAGCAGAAAAACAAACCACAAGCCAGGGCACAAGTTCAGCTGGCATGTGAAGAGAATATCATGCCTACCTGTGGACACCCAGGGCGGGAGCCCATGGGTCCTGTGGGCATTGTCATCTACAGGAAAGGTCCTATGCCAGCCACTGCCCTGTTGGTCCTAGAAATCCATGGCTTGCTCCCATGGTTCCCTGAACATTCAGTGTTAGCATTTATTGCCATATAGAATTCATCAGTGCTAGCTCAGTGAAAGCAGCCATGTTCACATGTAGCAGGGTGGGAACTAACTGGTGCATTCAGAAAGCACAGGTCAACACCAGGATCTAACCTTGGAGCTACAGGATGCAGCAAGCACCTGTACACCCCCACCCCCACCCCCACCCCCATCGGTCTATAAATGACTTGAATCCTCCAGTCCTGGTCTCAATGCCATCTCTTTTTTGCTGCAAACATCCTGGCAAAGACCATGGGTTCCTGGAAGTTGTCCAGGGGTAAGAAGAGCTCTGAAGTCAGGCTATAAAGCAGTCTAGAAACATCTGTGTTGTAGGGCCTTGAGTCCAGAGCTGGTGTGGAGCTCCTGCTGATCTTAAACATCCTTTCCAGCTGCAAATGGGGTTTCAGCTGGAGCTATGTCTAGGTTCTACTGGAGCCTGGACCTTTGGCTCGGGGCGGGGCTGCTAGCAGAGTTGGGTCTGTGGCTCTTAATGGAAAAAACAGACCAGCAGCTGCTTCAGCTTTGGCTTGGTCAGCCAACACATCCTTCTGGATGCTACAAGGGACCCCTTAAGGTCCAGTCAAACCTGGAGAAGGAATGTTCTAACTGGGAAAATGCCCAAGGGGCTGGGTTGAGGAAGGGACCTGATACCAAATGGGTCTGGGCGCATAGGCAAGGTGGTGACAGGGATGCAACCTCTAGGGTAGGTGGCCTTTGCAGGATCTTCTTGACTTTTTGCATGCTGGATCCCGAGCCACACATCTCAGGCAGCCCTTTTAGATACTTCTGGAGATGCTGCTCAGAGTATTTAATCTGGTGGCTTTTGAACTATACCTGGACTTGATGCTCCTTCATGTTAATCCTTTCCACCAGCACCACACTGTTCTCTTAGGCTGAATACTTGACTTTTTGAAATGTTCTTCCAGCTCATACTGGTCCTCTCTTATACACAGTGCACTCCTCAGAGTGCTGGGGTGCTAGGGCCTCTGGAAAGGCTGGAGACCCCTGTGGCCTGGAGACATGGTATACCTAAGGGATTTGGGAAACTAGGTCCTGAATGCACTGGGGTCCTGGGAACGTGTGAGGTTGATTTGGGGGTTTTGGGGGTGAGCTCCTTGCATTGGAGAGCCCATTGGCTCTTGCTTCTCCATCTAGTTTTGGTGTGATGTTTAATTGTCAAGTTACCAGTTTCAGCTTTGTAGAGTTTTCAGCAGTGCCACACCCCACCCTGAGAATGTGGATTTGCAAAACACAGGATTTTTTGCTTTTGATTGCTTTTGACCTATTTTTTGCTTTTTGTGGTTCCCAAAGGTCAAAGACTGGGAGTAATTCAGCAGTGATTTTCTTTTGTCCATAGCCTGAATACCAAAAGTCCAGTCTTTGCCTTCCAGATTTTCAAATGAGACAGTCTCCTAGTTGAAGCAAGGCAAAGAATATAAAAAGAATTTGACAGTGCCTATGCCCAGTGTTCACATCTTCTCCTGGAGAAATGTACAGAATTATCTATTTACCCCAGATGGTTCCCCACCAAGGCCAAAGAAACAATTGAATCCAAGTCCAACTCGTTAAATCAGTGTTGGATTACTTACAGGAATGTAGGTGACTACAAGACAACCACATCATCAGAAACCCACCCTCAGCATGGGTGACAACTTATGAGAGCCCAGGTACCAGTAAAGTGTTCTACTCTCCTCTCGCACCTCAAGACCATGTGTAGCTGGAGCAAGAGGTGATGGTGACTGGAATCTCAAATGAGAGTCTAGTGACCCTTCCCTCACCTCCTCATGAGGGAATGTTAGCAGCTCACTGCCATGGGTGGAGACCTGTCACTGCATTATTCTGATTGTTCTCCTGCCATGATTGCAGACCAAGGTATTCTGTAGGTCTTAACAGCTCTGTTTCTTGGTGGTGGATTGTCGTGCCGCACCCAGAGGAAGTAACTCCATTACAGCAGGAGTTGAGAATGAACCGTGTAGTCATTACCTCTGTAGGAAATCCTGATAGTAATTGTTGCATTTCCCTCACCACCTCAGCACTGTATACAGGACTACTTTTTCCAGTGTGCTCTTCTTCATTGTGTCACCTAACAGCCACTCAGATGTCTGCCTCTGCCCAAACCTCTGGTCTCACTCAGTTGGGGTTGTAGAAATACAGGGCGATAGCCTATCAAGTGTTTAGGGAAGTAGGATGATATACTGCCCCATTCCTGGTCTGTTCACAACTATAGTGTGTTCCTGTCTTGCTGTTGATGCAGACTATGCTAATCGGTTTGATGCCTCCAGAAATGTCTACAAATGTAGCCAGTGGCATTTCAGTGAATGTCTAGTGCTAACAAGATTTGAAAGAATCTTCTACTTTGCTTTTTGTTTTTAGGCCCTTCTATTTTGTTGCTAAGGATTGCAAAATTGGGCTGAGATTCTGGAGGTTTATTTTAGGTTATGCAAGTACTTGGCATTTAAAGTCTTGCTTACTCAGACAAAATTGATGCGTATAGACCCATTTGAAGGCTCTGTTGAGCATAGGGTAGCAGTTCTGCACTTGTTGCTGCCTCTTACTGTTTCCATTTTTCAGTTATACGTCTGTATTAGTTACTTTTCTGTTGCTGTGATAAGATGCAATGACCAAGGCAACTTATAAAAGTAAGAGTTTATTTCAGCTTACAATTCCAGGAGAATTAGAGTCCATCATGGCAGTAGGCATGGTGGCAGGAGGTAGACAGAGCAGGAGCAGAAAGCAAAGGTCATACCTTCAAGCAAGCAGAGGAAGCCGAGAACTGGAGATTCAACGAGGCTTAAGAACTCTGCAAGCCCAGCCCAGTGACATGTTTCATCTACCATGGCCATACTTTCTAAGACTTCCCAAAACTGCCACCAACTGGGGATAAATGTCCAAATACTTAGAGTCTGTGGGGGACATTCTCATTCAAACCACCACAAGGTCCATAACTAAAAACATTTTTGCAGTTTCTTGTGAACTTTATCCTACTGGTCTAGCTCTAAATTTTTTTGAGGCGTGGGGTGTCTGGAATGTTGCGTACCCCATAGTCACATGTTGAATATTTGGTGTTCAGCAGGTAGCAGTATTTTGGGGAGCTTCTAGAAACTAGGAATTGGGATCTGGTTTGAGGGAATGTGTCACTTGAAGGTTATACCTCCTCTCCAATATCCTTTCTAATTTCTGTCTACCATCCCTCCATACCACACATGCCTGTTGCCATGATGTTGCACCTAAACTCATGCGTCTAAGTACTCATGGACTGAAGGAATCGCCTGAAACCACCTGCCAAAGTGAATCTTCTTCCTGTAGGTTGTTAACCATCAGGTATTTGGTCACAGTGCTGATAAAACCGACCAATACAGATGTCTTGTTTTCCTTTCTTCCAGACTTGGCAAGTGTACATGGAATAGAAGAATCAGCCCCAAAGCAGAGCATTTTTGATGAAGAACCATCCCATGCGGTGAAGATAGAAGAATTGTCAAGAGATGATCCTTGGCTCTCTTCATGTGAAGAATTTGGAGACTCTCAGGACCAGGTGGAGAAGCAAGGGAAAAAAAAAGAGGAAGTGGCCTTCACTCAAAGTACAGCTGGTATTCATGAGAGAGCCCCGCAAAGTGATGAACTTGGGAAGAGTTGTCTGAGTTCCAGTCTCCTTTCATTCCCCATGATACCTCTCAGAAACCATTTTCATAAACAGGTAGCACATGCTAAAAGACTGCATCATAATTTTATTGCAAATAGTCAACAGAAGATTAGTGACAGTGCAAGTCTACATGAAGATGGCGACTGTGGAAAAGGCCCTCAGAGCATTCATCTTACTCAGTTTACAAGAACTCCAAAAGGAGACAAATCCTATGAAATTAATGGTAATATTCGGTCAGCTAGCCATGGTACACCCATAAATCTACATGAAAAAGTTCATATAGAAAGTAGAACCTTTGGTCTAAAGGGATATGGGGAAGTTTTGAACCATGGCATATCTCTTAATGAACAGCAGAGAGTTCCTGTTGGAGAGAACCAATATAAATATAGTAAAACTGTTCTCAGTCCAGCTCTTACCAAATACATGAGAAACTATTCTGAAGAGAAACGTTTTGAATGTAAGCATTGTGGGAAATCCTTTAGCTGGAGCTCACATCTCATTGCACATCAAAGAACTCATACAGGGGAGAAACCTTATAAATGCAATCTATGTGGAAAGTTCTTCACCCGGAGCTCACATGTTGTTTCCCATCAGAGAATTCATACTGGAGAGAAACCTTACAGATGCAATCAGTGTGGGAAATCTTTTACCCAGAGATATGTGCTTGTGGTGCATCAGAGAACTCATACTGGGGAGAGGCCTTATGAGTGCAACCAATGTGGGAAGTCATTCAGGCAGAGCTATAAGCTTATTGCACATCAAAGAACTCACACTGGAGAGAAGCCATATGAATGCAATCAGTGTGGAAAATCATTTATCCAGAGTTATAAACTTATTGCACATCAGAAAATTCATTCTGGGGAAAAACCCTATGAATGCAGTCATTGTGGGAAGTCCTTCAGTCAAAGTTATAAACTTGTTGCTCATGAGAGAACTCACACTGGAGAAAAACCTTTTGAATGTAATTATTGTGGGAAATCATTCAGCTGGAGCTCTCAGTTGGTATCACATCAAAGAACACACACAGGAGAGAAACCTTACGAATGTAATGAGTGTGGGAAAGCCTTCAACCGCAGTTCACACCTTGTTATGCATCAGAGAACTCACACTGGAGAAAAGCCCTATCAGTGTAAACAGTGTGGGAAGTCCTTCAGCCAGAGCTATGTTCTTGTTGTGCATCAGAGAACGCACACTGGAGAAAAGCCTTATGAGTGCAACCAGTGTGGGAAAACGTTCAGACAGAGCTCTTGCTTTACTCAGCATCAGAGAACTCACACTGGAGAGAAACCCTATGAATGTAATCAGTGTGGGAAAACGTTCAGCTTGAGTGCCCGACTTATTGTGCATCAACGAACTCATACTGGGGAAAAGCCCTATAAATGTAGCCAGTGTGGGAAAGCTTTCATTAGTAGTTCTAAGCGCAGTAGACATCAGGCTACTCATAATGATGAGAAATCCTGTAAGTACAAGTAATAGAATACTTTAGCTGGAATTTGTTGCTGTTACCCTCTTTAAAAAGGGATGAATTTAGTGGAAATGTAAAATGAATGTGCACTGAGTACCTTTTGATTATCTCTGTTTTACTGATAGAAATAGAAAGGCAGTTTCCTAATTTTTGACAGATAAGAATATGCGGACTCTGGAAGAAAAAAAATGTTACATACTGGCATAGGTGGTTTCTTGGTGAGATAACAGCAGGGGCCTTAAGCATAGAAAAAGGTTATCTGTAAGCTAGTAGAAGTGGCTTCCCAGTGACAGGTTGGGTAGAAGCTGTACCCAAAAAACTGAAGCGCAAAAGCTGTTACTTTAGCTCAGAAGCCTTCCTTGAACTTGAATACTGGAGCCTGACAGCTCAGCTTCTCTGTTACTAAAGTGAATTCTCTGTAAATTTGAATGAGGTGTTTCTTCTTAAAAACTCTGACTTAAGATTATAGTTGACCAACTGCCTTTGCTCTCCAATAATGACTGACTACTAGCCCTTGCTCTTCTGAAATCCTGGTTCTTCTCTACCACTTGTATTGACTGGGGAGGTTCTTCCTGATCCTGTGTGCTCCTACCCAACCAAAGTCCCCACTCCTATTCAGTTCAAACAGACAGAGCCTCTCAACTCAATTCTTAGTTTATGTATAGGCTTGAGCCATTCCGGCTCCTCAAGAGGCATAAAGTGGGTTCCAGCCACAGCTAAACTGTCGAGTCACTTTGGAGTTCCTACCTTTTTGTTCCAGAGAGCTGCTTTTCTACCTCAGTAAAACTTTACTCTTCTGTCCTCATTCATCATTCTTTCCATCCCAAGACAACAAACCTGGAGCCACTGACTCAAGGATGATTTGGGTGGCCATTGAGTTTTCAGGGCTCTGTTTCTCTGAACTAATCTTGTCTGAGCCAAGAAATGGCTTTGTCACACTTAAAGCTCTTTACACAGCATTTCCATGTATCTGGAAATACATTCTGAAGAAGGGGAGAGGCCGATAACTATGAACTGCGTATTTTAACTTTGGAATTTAACGTGCAGAATCAGTCTTGCCCCCGCATGGATGTGGACACCCAGAATCCCATCCATAAGAAGGCTGAGTCCAGAGGATTATGAGTTAAAGACAAGCCTGGACTACATAGTAGGACCCTGTCTTTGAAAAATGAAAGAAAAAAACCTTCCCTTAATGAACATTGCTGCAAACGTAAGAAGCTTTGGTACTTTTCCCTGCAAAAAGCATTCAGCTCTGAATCATGGAAAATTAAACTTGACAGCCTTTTCTAAAAAGAGTCTATGAAATGTTGACACTGGTGACCTGCAGGAACTTGGGCAGGAAAATACTTTACCCTATCAAAGTCTACATGTAATTTCCCTATTGGGTAGTTTGTAATCTATTTTGTTCTGCACTTTCTGTTCTGACTGAGTATTTTCTACAAATAAGGTAAATGGCTGTGTAATGAAATTTGAAAAATGAAAATAATGTAGAACTATTCATTTCCAGAAACATTGTGATGAAATGTTAGGGTATGGATTAAAATAAAAAAGGATTATGGTTCTCTATTTGGTACTCCTTTATGTCAAGTCATCTGCTGGAGGTGTATGTTGGTTTGCTATAGTTGACACAGGAATAAAAATTGGTCAGAGAGAAAAGACAGATTTCCATCTTGTTTGAGCATTTAAGTTAGAATGACCAACCATATCACCTATGGTTCAGGGATTTCCATTTAGTTTACATATGCAGGTTACACCTTAGGGCTTTGATTCCATGGGATGTTGAAAGTGTCCATGAGAGTGCAATGAGAGTATAGACCAGGAAGTTTAGACCATAGGAACTAAGGAAGCACAGGCAATGTATAGGCGAGCACGCGCTGGGCTCTCAGGGTCCCAGCGCACACTCCTGGGCAGTGAAAGCTCCTCCACTACTGAGGTCTACTCAGTCGATCCCGTCCCTATTTCACCCATATACCTTCCTCAGGATGTGAGGTCCACTGGCCACTTGGACCACACGGGAAGCGTACGAGGGACGGCAAAAGCCAGGGTGTCCGCGAGTTGGCGACGGAGGAATAGCGCCCTCCGGGGAGACTGGATCACAGGATTTAGTGTTACAGCTCAAGACAAGTGACTCAGCTCAGATCTCAGTGATTCAGCTCTTTATTGGGGTAAAACTAGGACTATTTATAGTGTAGAGACAGCAGAAGAAGTCTTAGCTGATAGGTACTTTTAGAATGCCTCATTTACATAGGGCAGTGGGCTTCTATCAGGCTATCAAACAACGCCTGATTAAAAACCTGGTAGCTCCTGTGCCGGAGGGCATGTATTTGTGGCGAGCACTTTAAAAGAAGAGTCAGGGAGGATGCCAGGAAGGCACTCTGCTATGAAAGGAATCTGCAGCACATGGTTTCCGAGCTCGTGAGCTATCCGGACGTGAAGAGACTTCTACTTGCATAACAGAGGACCCCAACACAATGCAGAAGGGAAATGGGCCTGTTGATGTATCCACATCAGTATAAAAGAACACTACCAGTGGTTTAGTTATCCTGTCCTATAGTAGTGTGTCTTTTCAAGGATTCCCCAATGTGAATTTTCAGAGGGTTAGTCTTTAGTGAAGTGTTCTTCCATTAAATTAAGCTTGCAAGAATGAATGTCAAGCTTTGTATCTACTTAAAAGGTTTGTTTTACATTTATTTATGGGGGGGGGGTGGCATGCATGCCATAGTGCGTGTGTTGAAGCCAGAGGATGACTCTTGGGTGTCAGTTACCTCCTTCCACAATGTGGACTAAGGAATCAAACTCATGGTCAGTTTTGGAATGAGGTGCCTTTACCCACTGAACATCTTGGTATCTACTATTAGACTTTTAAAGATTTGGTTCATATCTTTGTGATGTTTGTCCCTAAATAATTAGTTCTACACTTTAAATTACTGTGTCTGAAGCCTTCAATCCCAGAAAGGTAGTTTTCTAAGGAAAGCTGGGAATTGACCTGAAAGGCCAGAGAATAAAATTCCTTTGGAATAAATCATTTCAAAAACTTTAAATCTGGGGGTGGAGAGATGGCTTAGCGATTGAGAGCCCTGGCTGCTTTTTACAAAGGACCTAGATTCAGTTCCCAGCACCCACATGGCACCTAATAACCAGTTCTAGGAGATCCAACATCCTTTTCTGACCTCCACAGGCACTGAATACATATGGTAGAATTTATACTTGCTGGCAAAGCATACATATAAATATTTGCACGACATGGGTGCACTTACACGCAGGCAATACGCTCATACACAAATAAAAATAATAACTAGCCGGCTGTGGTGGCACACGCCTTTTGTCCCAGCACTTAGGAGGCAGAGGCAGGCGGATCTCTGTGAGTTTAAGGCCAGCCTAGTCTACCTAGTGAGTTGAGGTCAGCTGGGACTACAGGGAGACCCTGTCTCAAAAAGACAAAATTATATATATATATATATATATATATATATATATATACATATTTGTTTGGTCTTTTTGAGACAGGGTCTCCCTGTACCCCAGCTGACCTATAACTCACTCTGTAGAGCAGGCTGGCCTTGAACTCAGAGATCTGCCTACCTCTGCCTCCTGCGTGCTGGGATTAAAGGCGTTTGCCACCATGCCTGGCTAAAATAAAACTTCTTAACTGGAAAAGCTAGATTCCTTTAAACTGCTGAGAGTGAAGTTTAGACATAAAAGGAGGAATTAATTAGGAACTCACATCCAAATTCAAAAGACACTGACAATAGAAATCATGTTTAAAGTACTGAGTTTAGGGTAGTGAGATGCCTTAGTGGGTAGAGGTGCTTGTCACCAAGTCTGAGGAAAAGAATTTAATCCCCGTACCCACGAGCTGGAAGGAGAGAACCAGCTCTGGCAAATTGCCCTCTGACCATGTATGCATCATAGAATTCACATACCAAGACAGCATCTTATTATTAAACATTCTGAATTCCTAAATGTTCAAAATGCAAAACTTTCTTAGTGTTACCATGATGCTGCAACTGGAAAATTTCACACTTGATCTTCAGTGACCCATTGTAGTCAAAGCACAGGCACACCTAAAATATACACATATTCCTTTATGTGTGAAAGGTATATATGAATATATGTGAATTTTGTGTTTAGACTTGGTCCCATCCTCCAAGTACCTCATGAGTAAATATCCCAAGACAAAAATCAAATTCAAAATGCCTCTGGTCCCAAACATTTCAAGTAAGGATCACTGCATCTTTATTTTACAGGCTCTAGAAAAAAGTGAAAAAAAAATGACCAAAAATGTTTTAAAGAACATTGAGCAATGGTATTGCTGCACGTGGTGATGCACATCTATAACCCTAAGTATTGGAGGGGACAGGGTAGGAAGAGTATATGTTCTAGGTACCTGGACTACAGACCACATTCAAGGCTACCCTGAGCAACTTAGTGAGTCCTTGTGTCATGAAGTGAAAAAGAATTAGAGGCATAATTCACTGATGAAACAAACACCTACCTAGAATCCCCCGTGTGTAGGGGGGTGTGGCTCAGTGGTAGAGCACCTTCCTAGAATCCTCCAGTGAGGGACTGGGGTGTGGCACAGCGGTAGAGCATCTGCCCAGAATCCCCAACTGATGGGCTCGGGGCGTGGCTCAGCAGTAGAGCACCTGCCAAGAATTCCCCAGTGAGGGACTGGGGATGTGGCTCAGAGGTAGAGCACCTGCCTAGAATCCTCCAGTGAGGGGCTGAGGGTGTGGTTCAGTGGTAGAGCACCTGCCTAGGATCCCCAGTGAGGGGGAGGGGAGATATGGGTCAGTGGTAGAGCTCTTTCCTAGAATCCCTCAGTGAGGGGTTGGGGTCGTGGCTCTGTGGTAGAACACCTGCCTAGAATCCCCCAGTGAGGGGCTGGGGTGTGGCTCAGAGGTAAAGCACCTGCCTAGAATCCCCCAGTGAGGGGCTGGGTCCTGACTCAGTGGCAGAGCCTTTGCTTAACATACAGGAGTCCCTATATTCAATCCCCAATACTGTAAATCCCCTAAGAAATATCCTCCTAGGCACTGAGAATTTAACTCAGTGGTAGAGTTTTTGCTAGCATATACAAGGCCAATCCACAACACCATGTGAGGAAAAAAATATCTTCTAGGACTGATTTTAGAGTAAAACAAAATATAAAATTTCCTGGGAAACAGGTGAGTGAGCTTTTGAATAGGAAGCTTTTGCTCTTTATTAAAAAGAAATAGTTAATAGTTGTGATAAGTAGAATGTACCGAATTTTTAATAGCTGAGATTAGGTTAAAAAAAATCCAAACCTAGGGCTGGAGAGAAGGCTCAGCAGTTAAGAACACTGGCTGCTCTTTCAGAGGACCTGGGTTCGATTCCCAGCACCGACATGGTGGCTAACAACCATCTGTAACTGCAATCCCAGAGGAATCCAACGCCTTCTTCTGACCTCTGCAAGCACTGCATAACACAGGAGCACTTACATACAAGCAGGCAATCCACTCATATACATGAAATACTAAATAGTAAAGTATTTTTTTTTAAATCCAAACTTGTGGGAAATTCGAAGATTTCCAGTTTCCTTGATGAAATCTCCAGTTCATTTGCCTGCAGCCTTTGATATTACCATTCCTTACTAATCGTGGAGATTCCATAACTAAGTTTAGTCTTAGTACATCACCATACCTACAATAAAATCATTGTTTATTTTTTAAAGTTCTTTTAGGAAGCATTAATTTTTGTGTGTATCTGTGGAGGTCAGAGGACAAGGGGTGAGAGTCAGTTCTCCCCTTCCACCATGTGGATTCCAGAGATTGAACTCAGAGTTGGGCATCAAGTATCTTCAACCACTGAGCCATCTCACCACCTCAATTTTGTTTTTCTTTTGAGAGTATCTCATGTAGCTCAGGCTGGCCTCAGACTTGCCAGTCTGTCCTTGAACTCCTGACCTTCCTGGACCCACTTAACAAGTGCTATGATTACATGTATGCACCACCAACACCCAGCTACTTTCCTAATATTATTATTATTATTGTATTAATAATATTATTATTTTGTCTTTTTTTTGAGAGGGTTTCCCTATAGCCCTAGATGGCCTGGAACTCCCTATGTAGGCCAGGCTGGCTTTGAACTCGAGATTTGCTTGCCTCTGTCTCCCAAGTGCTGTTACTAAAGGCATGTGCCACCATGCACAGCTATTTTTTATTTAGTAAATATTTTATCTAATATTTGTATATACATATAATGTGTTTGGGTCCAATGTACCCCCTATGCCCTCCTTTCCAGTTCCTCATTTAGAAATGTTTTTAATGTTGCACCTGGGTAGAGGGAGTTGGGAATCTCTCTATATAACTTCTTACTTTAATTATGTGTTGTGGACATTGTTGGTCACCTAAATAAAGTAAGATGTGTCCCTAAGAAATTTGGTACCAAGTTACCACAGCATCCTTAAGTGATATGGTCAGGGTTCTCTAGAGAATCAGAACTGATAAAATGAATATATTTATTAGATTAGCTTTACAGGATAGAGTGAGTAGTCCAACAATGTCTGTGCCACTCTGGAGAGGCTGAGAATCCAATAGTTGCTC